TTTTTTTAAACTAGTCATCCCTATTTAGGTACCTACTCATACTCCTAGCATTAGCATCGGCGCCGCGAGAACAGACAGACAGACAGACAGACAGAAAGACTGAATAGACTATTTTAGAGCAGTGATGGCAATGCCATGGTATGCGTATAATGAGGCAGGCCATGGTTTGATAATGGTAGAGTAGGATGTTTACCTGTTCGAGTCTGCACAGAGTATCGTGCAAACCAACCCCAGGATAATGGCAGTATAACCCCAAAATACATTAGAAAAGCAAACTTTTAATTACCATTCTACCAGGTGAATATATATCTAACTAGACACTTACTCCGCAATTACCTACTCCTACGTGCATCTAGGTCTCGCTCAATCGTGATGAGGCCGTGAAAGATATCTGATCTTCAGTCGCAGCAACAAGCGCGTAGTCGTCCGTCGCACAGCTCCACCCCTACCCGTCTTCCCCCCTACGACAAGAAAATCGGATGCCTCTCCATGCTCTTCCTCCACTGCTCACTATACCTCAGCATCAGCAGAATGCACACCGGCCCCCACGCAAAACACACCAACGCAACAGCCGTAAACAGCCAACCATTACCAATAGCCCTAATAGCCGGATCCGTGACAACGCTGCCAATACAACTGAAGATATTCCTCGCAAAGTTGTTCAACGCAATGCCATTACTCGCCTTGCGGGGCATAAACTCGGTCAGCATCGTCGTCGCCATGGCGAAGATCAGCATGCTGCCAATCCCGAAAAAAAAGTTCGCAATCATCGGCACCAGCCAGAAGACGCCCTTCTCGGCCGTCCAGCCGTACCACAGCAGCGCGCCGGGGAAGAGGAGCGCGCCCGCCCACGCGTTCTCACGCATGCGGTCTTCGGGCCGCAGCACCAGCTTGTTGCTGGCGTCGTACTGGCCGCGCTTGCGCGCCTCGCGGTGCATGATGCCGTCGATCCAACGGCCCCCCAGCAGCGACGCCATGATGTAGCCTAGGCTGTTGGGGATGTAGAGGAGCCCTTGGAGGCGGCGCGTCAGTTGTTTCATGTGCAGTTATTAGATGGGGGCCGGGGGGTCCTGGCCCCCTGATTGGGTTGGGCGCCTGACGTACCGACGATGATCGTGCTGAACGAGTACGGCACCGCCGAGAACGTCGTCTCGATGCTGATGTTTAGGATGTACAGCGAGGCGAAGCTTTGCCAAGATCAGCCAAGCTCAACGCGTTGCTGGTTTGGGATTAAGGGTGACGGGGGCCTGACTTACGTTACCGTGGCGTATGACACGACGAGGAATATGGCAGGGAACCGCAGGTACAGGATGATGCGCAATGGGTCGATGAAACACCGCCGCACGTACACGAGGTACTTTTTCGTGTTTTTCTGGACGCTCTGCCGGGTGGAGACGCGGTGGAGAGACGGACGCGCGGCCGCAGCTGGTGTACTCGTGGGCTTTTCCAAACCGCCGGCCGCAGCCTCAACTTGCTCTGGCGTGTTCGCATCGGCCAGGGGGTCTGCGGCTTCGCTGGACTCCTCGTTGTTTTGGCTATTTCCGTTCTCTGGCGCCACAACGACAGGCTTGTTCCGCCGCAGGGTCTCAGGTAACATGAACGCAACGCTGAGCCAGACAACACCGCCGTAAATCACAAGGAACCACTGTGTGCTGCGCCACCCCAGGCCTTCAGCCAATGCTCCACCGACTATAGGAGCCAGCAAGGGTCCACAGAGAGGACCGAGATAGAAGATGCCCATGGCGAAGCCGCGTTCACGGGTCTCCCATATGTCAGCAATGGTGCCGCCTCCGACAGCCTGCACGCTCGCAGAGGCTCCGCCGCTGAGCACACGCATGACTATCAGCATGGAGATGTTGTCTGAGATGGCGCAGAGCACGGCCCAGAGAATGAAGAGCGCGAACGACGTCAAATAGATGGTGCGCCGGCCCAGCGTCTCGGAGAAAGAACTCCACCACAGTGGGAAGATGGACATGGCAAGCATGTAGAAGGACACGCTCATGTTGGCGATGGTCGTCGTCGAGTCAAGCGATCGTGCAATGTCTTCGAGAGCAGGGAAGATGATGCCCGAGCCGGTGGGTGCTGCGGCGCCGGAAAGAGCCACGATGAATGTGAGTGTCCATTTGGTTTTCCGACTGTACTCGTACGGGTTGGACACTTCCGGAATTAGGCAGAGGTTGGCAAAGAGGCCGCGGCGCTGTTTCCGTGGGACAACTGTAGGTGTCCTCTGCAAGGCGTTGGAGGCCTTGGTGTCATGGCGAGCTAATGGTGGTTGGTTTGACGAGGGACCCTCTTCAACAAACGACGCCGATGAAGGGGTGGAGGTAACGTTGTGCTGCTTTTCAGCATCGTCACAGTCCTTGCTGTGGTCAGGCTGGACCGTGGCAATGTCTGCTTCTTCGCCTGCCATGATCACTTCCGAAGACGCGATTCACTGAACAGTTCGGGTCGGAAGATGGACGAAAAGTGTTTTCAAAAGTTGGTTCATGCGTCCTCAAGGACTCCTGACTGTTCGGTTCCGGCCTACCAGTGTCAAATCCTTCGTCATTGAAGCACAGTAGCCACAATGGTGATTAGTGTGAGTGACGCGGGCTCTTCGTTCCTCCTCCCAACCGGCGAATCGGGTAACACGTCTCTTCCAAGTGGAAGAAAAGAGAGAGGAACTCAGGCGGGGAGCGGGCTTGTGCAGTTGGTCCATGACTGAGCACCCCACTTAAGGCGTGGGATCGGGGGCGGCAGATGTGATAGGGCAAAGGTTGCAGCGGGTGTAAAGTGCAAGTGCAAATGCCGAATAGCCGCAGAGCCTAGGCTCGGAGGGTCGGGCGCCGAGGTGCGTTATCGATAATCTAGTCGTCGATCCTGCTCGCTTATCTTACTCTTTAGCGCATCTTTACTTTCTCTGGCGTCATTGGGCTGGGGAGGCGTCACAGCGTCATCCCTGTGACGCAACTCAAAGCTTTGCTGTCCAATTCTTCCCGGTTCCTTGCCTGCCAGTATAAATCACCCCCGCAGCTCCAATTGACCCCAGATTCTACTTTTCATTTAATCATTTAATCAGACACAATGGCTACTCAAGAAGACAAGCCTACCGACGCCCGCGCTCATCTCTTGAAGCACTTTGGATCCAGCGATCCCAAGGATCATCCCGCTCGCTGGAATGACCTCTGGAAAGAAGGCAACTTCCTGCCATGGGACCGCGGTTTTCCCAACCCCGCCTTCCGTGATATCCTCTACACCAAGGTTTTCCCCAACCACAACCCCGCCGGCGTGGACAGGGAACACCCGCTCGTTCCCCCGCCCGTAGACCCCAAGACGGGTCGCAGGAGGCGCGCCCTCGTTCCCGGCTGTGGCAAGGGCTACGATGTCCTGCTGCTGGCGGCTTCCGGCTACGACGCTTGGGGCCTCGAGTCCAGTGAGCATGCGGTCAGGATGGCAGAGGAGTATAAGAAGGAAGGCCAGAGTGAACCGACCAAGCAGGAGCTGGAAGAGGGCAAGCGTGGACACAAGGAGTATGCCATTCACAACAAGGAAATCGGCCTAGGCCACTCCAGATTTGTGCATGGCGACTTTTTCAAGGACGACTGGTTCAGCCGCATTGAAGACAGTGGCATCCAAGGGGCGAGTTTTGCAGTGGCGCCCAAGTTCGACATAATCTACGACTACACCGTAAGGACACTTCCTCTATCCAACCATTTCAAACAACCTCACTAACACCCGCCATCCAGTTCCTCTCCGCGCTTCCACCCTCTCTCCGCCCCCTCTGGGCTCTCCGCATGTCTCAACTCCTCTCTGACGCTCCTGACGCCGCCCTAATCTGCATTGAATTCCCAACCTACAAGCCTCCCTCGACCGGCGGTCCGCCCTATGGCCTGCAACCTACGGTATACGAGCACCACCTCAGCCGGCCAGGCGAGGAGCTCGAGTACAAGGAAGACGGACACATCCTCGAGCAGCGCGACGAGCAGACCAAGCTGGTCCTGCCCAACAAGCTCGGCCTCTTCCGCGTCGCGCACTACCAGCCCGTGCACACGCATGAGATCGGCAAGGGTTCTGACTGGGTCAGCATCTGGCGGCACCCGACCAGGGCAGAGCGCCGCCAATCTGAGGCTATCATTATTGACCGCGCTACCCCGAAGCCTCCGCCTGACCTTACGGTTCCCCAGGCTAGGCCAAGGAAGAGCATTTCCAAGGGATCGGCTCCTCCGCCCCACTCTCACGATGCTCCTGGCCATGATCGCCATGATATGGGTCCTGCACCGCATGGCACTGCACCTCATGGCACGGCGCCATACGGCCAAACGCTGCCCGAGACTGGCGAGGCAACCGAGGGCCTCGAGGACCCCGAGGCAGTTGCCCACAGAGCCACTGGCGGCTTGATTGGAAGTCCGCCGGAGCGTGTTACTTCGCCATTCCAGAGAGAAGGAGGCCCGGGTGGCATTGGAGGATTTGACAATCCCGGCTACGAGCAGCCTGGCTACGGTCAGTCCGATCTTGGACACAGAGGATTTGACGAACCCGGCCTTGGCCAGACTGGCGTTGGTCAACCAGGCTACGACCAAACTGGCCTCGGCCAAACCGGCTACGGCCAAACCCAGCCCGCCGGCTTTTCCACCCACGGCAACACCCTCGCGCACGGCGCTCCCGGCCAGGGCATCGCCAGCCAAGGCATCGCCGGCGCGCCACACCACACCGACAGCCTGCACCAGACGGCCGGTCTCGGCACGAGCGGCCACGCCCTCGGCCACGACGAAAGCCTAGCGGGCCACCACCACACGACGGGTCTTGACCAGACAGCGCCACACCATACTGGCGGACTCGGTGCCGGTGCCCTTGGCGCGGGCGGTCTTGCTGCTGGCGGCGAGGCTCTTCACCGCGGCGCACCGGGCCATGGCATCGAGGGCCAGACCGCCCCGGGCTACCCTGCCGACCTTGGCACTGGCGAGGACACGTTTGCTCAGGGCACGTCGACGCAGGGCCTTGCTGGCCATGACACGACTGGTCTTGGTCATGGCACAGCTGGTCTTGGTGGTAGCCACGGAACCGGGCTTGGTGGCCATGGCACTGGACTTGGTGGTCATGACACGACTGGACTTGGAGGTAGCCATGACACCGGCCTTGGTGGTAGCGGTCTGGGTACCGGTGCCGGACAACCCGGCGCCACGCAGGAGCTGCCTCTCCGGGGCCACACTGGCGAGGCAGGCGTGCCCGGCGAGGGAGCGTACGGCCAAGAAAGCGGACTTGGCGGCCAGGGCGCTGTCCCTGGTACCACGGCCGAGACGCAGCACCTTCCGGCTGTGCAGCAGTCAGAGCCGTCGTCGCTCAGTTCGTGGGCGAGGGAGACGGCGGCGCGCGTCATGGGTGGGGGTGGGAAGACGACGCAGTAGTGCGTTGTTGTGCTGAAGTGTAATGCTTGTAATGTCTCTGGTGTTGTAGATAACTGTACGTACGTAAATGACGTGATGAATTTTCTTGTCTTGAATGCTGTTGCCGCCGCTTGAGCAGTGTTTGTTCTGCAGTGCTCTCTCGTCTTGCCAAACGCCGTGCCTTATGCTTTTATGTCTGTAGCCTTCTTCTCTCGTCTCGTCTCGTCTCCAACGCAACGAGAAGAAGCAATCACGCCGTCGCCTCCTCTGTCGTCGTCTTCTTCCCCGCCTTCCGCAGCGAGTTGTAGTGCTCCCCCAGCCCAAACCCATGCTTATAATACGCGAGCCAGAGCTCCTTCGCCTCGTCCCCATCCTTCCCCTCCTCCACACCCACAGCACCTCCCTCCCCGCCCTCAACAACAGGATCAATAACATCGACCCGCCCATCGGCATGCAGCACCTTGATGGGCAGATTGTACGACCGCGCCAGCGCCATCAACTCCATATGGCCGCCCCACTCGCCCGTCTCGCGCACTTTGGCCACGTACGCGTCTAGTGGCTCTTCTAGGAAGGGAGCGAAGTCGTCGCTGTGCGCGGATATGTACGCGGCGGCGACGCGGCGGACGGTTTTGTAGTCTTCTTCGCCTTTGCCCTCGTCCTCGCTAGCAGTGCCGTTTGCAATCGTAACCCTAGGCGCAAGCCCCAGCTCCACACTCCCCAGCTGGTCCGCCACCGCGCTGTACAGGCAGTGCCCGTCGGCGCGGACGACGTGCTCGCGCAGGCCGCGGGCCGCGAATTGCGCCAGTAGCGCAGAGCGCTCGGCTTTGCGTTGGTCGGGCATGCTCTGCGCTTCTTGCGCGGCTTCCTGCGCGGCGGCTTCGGCTTCGGCGGCGCGGCGGGCTAGGCGCGCTCTTTGTCTGTTGGGCTTGCGCTGTGCTGGTGCGGAGGGGTTGGTGGGTGTGGGTGGTGCGTCGGGGGTGGTGGTGTTGTCCTCGTCCTCGGCGGCGGCGGCGGTGGTGGGGGCGCCGTCTGCTGCTGCTGCTGCTGTGTCGTCGCCGTTGTCGCCGTCGTCCTCGCCATCATCGCCATTGTCCCCAGCGAGTGCAGCGACTTCCAGCGCCTGCCGCTCCTTGAGCTCGCGCTCCAGCGTCGCGCACTCGTCGTTTACGCCCTTGCGCGTCTTCTTGGTGGCTTGTTTCTTCTTCTGGGTGATGCGGGACTGCAGGTCGCGCTGTTCTTTGCGGTGGCGGGCGAGGAGGTCGTCCATTGTTTTTTGTGGTGTGGTGTGGGTAAGGGAGGGAGGAGGGAGGGATTGGCGTGGGTGTGTGGTAGGTCGACAGTGGTGACGGACGGCTGTGAGTGGCAGAATGAATGTTGCGATTGGGTGGTGGTGGGGCTGCAAAGCAAAGCAGCCAAAAGCACCGAGAACCTCGGCCTGATGAGCTTCCCCAGATTAAGTACACCTCCGACACCACCGCCATGTTCTCCGCACCAGCAGCATTCCTCCCTCCACTCCCCTCCTCCTCCTCGCTCTCAGCACCTCCACCAATCTCACAACCACAATGGACGTCCCCACCCTCTTCAACGTCAAAGTAAGCTACCTAGCTCTTCCCTCACCCACCACCACCCACCGGGCCCAAGCTCCCACCACACCACAACATACACAACACACTAACCCCCCATCCCCCCACCACAGGGCAAAGTCGTCCTCATAACCGGCGGCGCCAAAGGCATCGGGCGCATGATCTCGGAAGGCTTCGTCGCCAACGGCGCCCGCGTGTACATCTCGTCGCGGGACGCCAAAGCGTGCGACGCCGCCGTGGCCGAGCTGAATGAAGCGGGCAAGGCCGCTGGCGGCGAGGCGCACGCTATTCCTGTTGATCTGTACAAGGAGAGCGAGTGCCGGCGCTTGGTTGAGGAGTTGGGGCGGCGCGAGAAACGTGAGTAGGGCTCTGGGCTGCTGTGCTGGTTGTTTCGGGAGGATCCGGGTCGCGCGGTGGTGGCGTGGGAGGGCCCTCTCATGACATGGCAGCAGACAGTGTTTGGGCTAGGCAGGTGACGAGAGAAACCGCAGCTAACACGACCTCCCGCAGACCTGCACGTCCTCGTCAACAACTCCGGCTCCAACTGGGGCGCCCCTTACTCAGAATACCCGGACAGTGCCTGGACCCGCGTGCTAACGCTAAACCTGCACCGCGTCTTCACGCTCACGCAGCTCGTAACCCCCCTCCTCGAAGCCGGCGCCACAGCCACTGACCCCGCCCGCGTCATCAACATCGGCAGCGTCGACGGCCTACGCGTCCCCGCGCTCGAGACCTTCGCCTACAGCAGCAGCAAAGCCGGCCTGCACCACCTGAGCCGCGTGCTCGCGTTCCACCTCGGCAAGCGCAACATCACGTCGAATGCGCTGGCGTGCGGCCCGTTTGAGTCGAAGATGATGGCCGCCACGCTCAAGAAGTATCAGGGCGTTATTGAGGAGGGGATTCCGTTGGGGCGGATTGGTCAGCCTGGGGATGTAGCTGGTGCGTGTTTGTTTTTGGCGAGTAGGGCGGGGAGTTATGTTAATGGCGCGACGATTACGCTGGATGGTGGGAGTGTTGTTAATGCGAAGTTGTGAGGGGGTTTGCGTGGGAATGGATGTGCAGAGAGATGTTGGTGGTTGGGGGGACGTAAGTGAGTCTGTGTTGGAATGTCTACGAGAGATTTGGATTGAAGAAAAGAGGTCTAACAAGAGAAAACTGTTTCGAAACCTCAGTATAACAAAATTTGCTCCTCAAACCCAGGTATCTTTGTTTCCCATCCCATGCAGCGGCAATATAGTTTCCTAGGATGAACGTAGCAGTCGCCGACGAGCTTAAAGCCATCCTCATACGGTCTGAGCACAAACGGCACATCAGCACCTCTCAAAGAGTAGACGACATCTCCAACTTCAGTATCGGCTGGACCAACGCCCATTGTTTCTTCGGTCGCAAACAATCGGTGCGATTTTGTTTTAGAACTTATTGCTGTTTTGAAGTCGTCTATTTCCTTCTCGCATGGTTTTGAATAGTTGTTATTCTTTCCAGATTTAGTATAACCTCAACGTAACAGTACAAGAGTGTACTTACCGCATCTGAAGGGAACCCGAAGCTCTCCTCAATTGGCATTTTGGATGATTGGATCGTACAAGCGAAAGCCTGCGGAATATCGCAATCTAGGAGGGGCGGGTTCGAATGGTTGAGTTCGTCCCAGTGGCTCCAGAATTCAATTCGAGGGAGTTGATTTGGATAAGAAGATGATAGTACGTAACTTGATCTTAATTTGTACGGATCAGCTACAGGCCTCTTGCCATCATAGATGTAGCCGATAGTGAAAATTCTGCCGAGCTTTGTTCCGCGAATTGAAAGAAATGCCTGACTCCCGGAAAGTGAGCGTGTCCGCAAAACTTCAGCTATTGGAGGCGAATCACTGTCAGGCAATCCTAGAGGTCTCCGGCCTGAAATAGGGTCCACTGCTTTGGAGCTCCAATCAGGCGCCCAAGAAGGTAACCCTGATATCTGGGTTGGGCCCTGGGCGTCAGTAAGTATACGCAGATCATTGTAGTACTTGATCAGTTTCACAGCAACTTCGGTGAAAACTTCCGAAATTGGCCTTGAATAGTCTGGATGTATGTCGGCCGCGGAATCGTCCTCGACAAGACCCAGGAGCGCATAAACCTTGTCGTGTGGATCCGTTGATAAGCATGGCCTGCAGTCTCTTAGAAGGCCCAAAAGTGTGCGGTATTTTGCAAATCCGAGATTGTAGTTCAGTGATTCTTTCCCGATGAGTAAAGCTGCAGGTATCGTGCCGTCCAACCTTGTACAGCCCAGATTGGCACAGTTCAAATTGAAGATGGACAAAGATTCCCAGCGAGCTAGTCTGTTCCCACAAAGTACTTTAGCTTTTTGAGCCATGCAAATCTCTTGTAAAACCCATGTGCGACTGAACCACGGTCGTGAGAGAAGATCGCGTGTGCTCAAAGTGTATTCTTCCTGCTTGTCATCGTCTTGAGAATCGAAAGATGCAAATTTGAAATACCCTTCTTTATCCCTACGAGAATGATCAAGAGCTGATTGAATGTCGTTAAGGTGATTGAATAGTTTCCAAGTTGGATATGGAGCTTCACCCAGATAAACCAAGACGCGCCAAGCTGCAGAATAGATCTTGGACATCCATCGTACCTGATGGCTTCTTTCTCCAAGGCTGTTTTGGTCGATGCATATGGAATCGATCCATATTAAGCGATTGCTCCGGAGAAGGCGAATTCGACGAAGAGCAGCAATACAGTTTGGAGTGACAGGTATGATCTTCCGAGATCTGCCGCATGTTACAACGGAACTGAGGCTGGCATCGCCGTTTTCGTCTGCCCAAGTATATGAAATAGCCTCGAATGCCGGTAGATTATCCACTTCCGCTCTTGTAATGGTACAGTGAATAGGGTCTTTCCAGCAACCAGGGTGAAGGACTGCCAATCTGATCTCCTCTTCACGTTGTATAGGGATATATTTGTATGGGGGCAAATTATACGGCAGCCGGGATAGATAGTTGGCGAAACTATATTTGAATAGTTCATAGTAGTCATCGGCGGATGACCTAATTTGGGCATCCAATTGTTCAATAGCCAGTTGTGTATCTGTTACAGGCAGCCCGCATTCCTCACAGAAAGCAACATGGTTTATTACGATGACTGAGACTGCCGTGCAAGCGCATGTTGGTTGTGACGAGTCGCCGTGGTGAGGGAGAAGGTCGATTCCTATCAGAGGACGCAGTTGAGTCGATGACGGGATGTCCCATGATCGCAGGCTTGCTGGAAAAGAAGATCGAAGGTTTGAGGACATGGACACGGAAGAGCGATGAGGGAAAATAAGAAGCCAGTTGCTCAGAGATCGACTGACCGGTGTGGCAATGCAGCAGGCTGAGCAAGGCTGAATCTGCAAGCTGTCGTTGGCCCTGCTGTGTAACGGCTTTGGTTGGATGTCGGCCGGCATCGCCAGCGATGAGTTGGCAGCTTCGACAATATGTGCATATTCAAAGCGGGCGTATGGTCGAAGTGCGTCTGGAAAATTGATTGGAGGAATTAGATCCTTAGCAAAACGTTGTTGCATAGAAGGAAGGCGGCAGGCTCAGTGACGTTGCACACCCATTTAAGGCAGGCGCAATGTGCGCATGTGATAGACGGCGTACCTCCACATCGGCAGGAATCTCTCCGGACAGAAGCTAGAGAAGGAAAAACATAGAAACATAAAAGTAGGAGTACTTGTAGAAACACAATAAAATGAATTCTTACACTTATATTACGGTCTGAGGCCGGGGAGACATTATTACAGTCTACGTATATACCTTTATGGCTGATGAAATTAGCTTCGAACGTAAACCTCTGCGTACATATAAAATTAATCTATAAAGAGTGCTCTTATCTACTTACAGGTAGCTATAAGTATGGCTTTAGTATCTTCAGTCTCTAATCTCAAAGCGATTTGTCATGCTTCGGCTTCTGCGGAGTACCGCTCACTATAGGGACGAACAACAACAATGAACAACAATGAACAATGAATAAACAATGACAGCAACACCTCACCCTCCGACCGCAGTAAATGAAGTAGCTGCGGCGTATAGGAAAATAAGCCTACAATATTACGTAGGCATAAAGAGTAGCTGAAAGAGCATTTGAATGCTCAAGAATAAATTGTCCGGAACATTCATAAACGATGGTTGGATCTTCCGCCACATCCCAGGCACAACCTTTTTGTGTACTTATCCCAAGACCTAATTGAGGAAGAATGCCCGATTAAATATAAATTAATAATTTTTCCATCTAACACAAGGGGAAGAAAGCAACACGCCCTCCTAAGCACCCCACCCATACCCACCACCAACATCAGCTCAGCCCCTCTTCTCCTCCCCACCCCCCTCAACATTCTCGACATCCAAGCTCCCACTACCACACGCACTCTGACTCCGCCCCGCATGCTCGAGCTGCCGCACAGCCGCCGAGTCCTGCAGTTTCTCGGACACGAAAATCAAATCCACCTCCTCCAGCGTACGGCCCCTGGTCTCAGGACAGCAGAAGTAGACGTACGGGCCAGCGATGGCATTGAAGACAAGGAACCAGATCCAAGTTTTCCAGCCGACGTTCGTGTCGGCAATGGCGATGGGCCCCGCAAACGTCGTCAGGAACGCACTGAGCCATTGCGCGGAGACGCTGAGCGAGAAGCCGATGTGGCGGTAGCGGAGGGGCATTACTTCCGAGGCGTAGACGTCTGCGATGGGCGTTAGTTAGCTGGGCTTGTGTGGAAGGAAAGAGAGGGAGGATTGAGGATTGAGGGCGGTGTTTGCGGCGGCTTACAAGGCACAGGACCCCATGTAGGCCCGAAGACGGCAATCCAGCCAAACAGCATGGCGGCAGCGGCAGCGCCCGTTTTGGCGCCGGGGCTGGACATGAGGCCCGTGAAGGCGGCGATGAAGACGGTTTGTCCGATTGCGCCGGCGATGAGCCAGGTGCGTCGGGAGAGCTTCTCCATGAACGTGACGCCGAGGACGTTGGTGATGGAGAGGACGGTGGTCGCGACGGCGGACATGGCCGACGCTGTGACGGCGCCGAGCCCGATGTAGCTTTGGAAGATCGTCGTCTAGAAATTACTTGGTCAGCGGGCTGAAGTATCCGGGTCGTGGAAAGGTATATGTACCATGTAGTAGTAGATCATGTCTGTGCCGATGAGGTATCCGATGCCCACGAGAATGACACCGGTGCGAATCCGGCGTGCGGCTTGCAGGTCTGACGTGTCCCAAAAGAAATCTTTTAAGCGAAGACTCTCAGCAGCTTGCTTCTCGAGCTCAATGGACGCGAGGATGTCCTTCTTTGCCTGCTCGACCTTGTAGTCGGCGAGCGGCTTGGCGTAGAGGCGCTCGAGGGTGCGGTCACCCTCATCGTAGCGCGACTTTGCGTAGTAGTATCGGGGCGAGTCTATCCTCGTCAGAAAAAGAAATCTACTGGTTCTACAACGTAGATCACTCACCAGGGTTGGGCCAGAGGAAGGCAAGAGTAAGCATCGACCACATGATCTGGAGCGCTACAGGGAAACGCCAGACGGCCTGGCCGTGAGCAAATGTCATGCCGAAGTCACTGTTCAATTAGCATCCTGATGATTGGCTTAAGAGGCTGTTTGTGTACTTACACCCAGTAAGCCAAAGCTATTCCGATGGCAGCACTCGCAATCATCATGTTGACCGAAGCGCCACGGTGCCTGACGTTGATTGCCATCTCCGCTACATAAACGGGAATCATGGAAGTACAAAAACCGTTGCCGACACCCTGGATGCTGTTAGCTTTGGCTACTTCCTTAGAACTCTTAGCACTCACAATGAGGACACGACCGGCAATAAGCTGTCCGTAGCTATAGCTTGTCGCGCTGATGATGGTTCCAATTATCTGGACAATTTCTCCCGCAATAACCCAGGTTTTCCTGCCCATCTGCATGCCAAAGAAAGAGATGACAATGCAACCCAGCCATGATGCCAGCAGGAAGACCGAAGTTATCATGGAAGTAATGGTCGTGTTGGGATACTATTGGCTGTCAATATGAGCTTCTTCAGTGAAGAGTTGCGAGACTTACTCCAATGGCAGCTTGAAATTCGGGCGTGAGTAGTACACCACCGAGCACACCAGCATCCCACCCGAAGGTCAGGAAGCCCAAACCGCCCGCAATGACGGCATTGAGATACAGTTTATTACCTTGCAAAACCATGGTGGGCAAAGGAGGACCACAGTGACCACTGCAACTGTATGGACTGTGTGAAAGATGGTCTGAAGGACGACGAAACCAAAAACACTGAAGAAAAGACGGGATCCAAATACCAAGATGTCCTCCATGCAGAGCAGTCCCGCTCAACGGCTCTACCCGAGAACCAGTGGCGCCAGGCACTCTCCTGAAGCACCGGAGTTCAAGAAGACTTTTCACTAGTACGGACGAGTCCAGGCATCATCGCCGCTGGAGGCCCTCTGATCGCCGTGACTGTGTCTTCCACGGTACAGATAATCCATTAGCTTTATCACAAGCGCCTCTTCAGGCACTGCTCCCGGGAAATTTAAAACGGCAAAATAGAGCTAGCGAGAACGGGCTTCTGGATAAAGCAGGACGACAAGGAAGCCGCGTGCAAGAACCCTGAAGATTCCTTGCTGAACGCGTGGGGAGGCACTTTAGCGCCTTCCTTCACTGAGCTTGGTGTCCGTCTGTACCCATCTTCTCCAAGCTCTTTCAATGTATTTTCTGCGGACCTTTCACGCCAGTTGATTGCCATGGGCTAAACAAAGAGCAATCATTGCCATCTTCAATGCGCAATCGAATGATTGCGGGGATGAGCACGCATTAGCCTCGCTTGTGGGATGCATTGCCGTTCACTTGGATGTTCACTAATGTGCGGGACGAGATCCTGCGCCTCCAGCTCGGAAATCGAATTCAACACAGGAATACAATAGCAGTGGGCCCCTGCCATTAGTGTCCAAAATTGTGCATAGCAGTGATGGTCCCCCTGGATTTGGACTGTTTGGTTCATTCCCTTTGATGTGCTGTACGGATACGGACGCGGGGGACGTGAGAGGCGGCAGCCAATACTGTTCTTTTGCCTACGCAAGAAAGTTCGAGACATATTTTCGAGTGGCGTGAGATAGTAGTTGTGCATAAAGTCGTTACTCAGTAGTACCTCTCTGAGAAGCAGCTGCTGCTTCAAGCTATGCAGGGTACCGTGAAAGACATCAATGCCACAACTAGATTCCCATCACCGGCTCTTGCTCGGCGGGATGGACCAAGCGTGAAGCGACGGGAAAGCATCCGCAGCTCCCCGACGACGCTTGACTAAGTGAAGACGGAAAGCGGCAGAGTGGGAGAGTGGGTGATGAGTGGGCACGAGTGGTGAAGCTGAAGCAAAGGGAATGGTGGCGGAAAACGTTTCAGGGACCTGGGGACGAGAGGTGGCCCGGGCGCCGGCCTGGCGGGCGTGGCGGGCCTCCCGGTCCCCGACCACTCACCCACCACAGAAAAAAAACCGCCGTCGATCTCCTCGCTCTCGGGACGCCATCCGCTGCCGGCGCACGCTACCTGACGAGGGAATCTTGTCCGCTGCGGCACAGTTTGGCCCCCGCCGATCCTTGGGGAGCGCGAGCGACTGTTTGATCCTGCCGCCCATAACTAACTTATGTACCGCCAAGGGCGAATCATCTAATCACCGTCTCCTCCACAAGAGAGATGAGGGTTGCGCAACCGCGAGCAGTCTTGGCCGCGCCGCACCATAGAATGCTCAGGCCCACTCTTCTTTTGGACTTCCGTGCGTCATATTGGATCCCTACCGACCCTTCCTTGGCTTCACGACCAAGTGGGAAAAGGATTCGCAAGATGCCCATGGCTGTAGAACCATGCTGGCATGCATGAGCTCCAGTTTTCCCTTCATTGCAGGGCCATAGCTCCTGAGGCCGAGCTGTTACGAACGCCTGACTGCCTATTCGCTGTCCGTAAATACTGCTTCCCCGGTTGCCTTCTTCTTTTTTATCTGTCGTGCATGTGGCTTTACCCTTTGGACACACTACCACAGAGTCAGCAACCATGGGCGCCCTTTCTATCGGAAGCCTAATCTTCGCCGGCGTTGGTTATGTTGTCCTCCGCGTTCTCTATCAGATTGTCTACTATCGTTTCCTCCACCCTCTTGCCAAGTTCCCCGGTCCCTTCTGGGCCAGCGTAACCAGACTATGGGTTGCCTACCACAACCTCAAGGAGGATGAGTGCCAGGTGGAGCTGGAGCTGCACAAGAAATATGGTGAGCAGAGCAATCGACAACCGCGTTGAGCTTCCAGAACTCTAACAAACCTTGCAGGCCCCGTCGTCCGCATCACTCCCACTCTTCTCCTCGTCAGCGATTCCAAGAAGCTCCCCGAAATCTACAACCGCCAGGCCGACAAGTCGCAGCACTACATCACCGGCAGCTTCGGCAACGTCGAGTCTCTGTTCAACATGCAGAACCACAAGGTCCACGCGCATTTCCGGAAGATTGCCGCGGCGCCGTACAGCTTCAGCAACATCAAGAAGATGGAGCCGCTGATCGACGCGCGCATGCGCGACTGGGTTAACAGGATCGACGGCCTCTTTGCGAAGACGGGCGAGAAGTTCGACTTTGCGCCCTGGGCTATCTACATGGCGTACGACATCATTTCCGAGGTTGGCTTCGGCGCGCCGTTCGGCTTCATCGAGCAGGGCAAGGACGTCGAGGGCCTGATCCAGGGCTTCCACGATGGTCTCGTTCCCTTTGGTCTTATGGCGCGCCTGTACCCCTTCACCAACTGGGTCAAGAGCACTTGGTTTGGCGACAAGTACCTCGTCGCGCGCCCCGAGCAGGAGTCTGGCATTGGCACGTTGATGCGCTTCCGCGACAAGCTCATTGCGCAGCGCGAGAAAGACATTGCGGACGGCAACACCAACGGCCGGATTGATCTCCTGCAAACGTTCCTCGAAGCTCGTGACGACGACGGCAAGCCCCTTGACCCCGAGTACATCAAGGCCGAGATCCTGCTGGTTCTGCTCGCAGGCGCCGACACCACCGGCACCGCTTTCCAGGCCTTCATGCTGCACATCATGGCCAACCCCGACGTGTACGACAAGCTGATGGACGAGCTGGACACGGCCACCCGCGCCGGCCACCTCTCCGAGATGCCGCAGTACATGGAAGTCATCGAGCACTGCCCCTACTACGTGGCGTGCCTGAAGGAGTCGACGCGGCTGAACCCGTCGGCGCCCAACATCTTCCCCCGCCTCGTCAACAAGGGCGGCATGGAGCTGTACGGCAAGTACGTGCCCGAGGGCATGGAGGTGACGTGCAACCCGTGGCTGGTGCACCGCGACACGGCCATCTACGGCGCCGACGCCGAGGTGTTCCGGCCGGAGCGCTGGCTCGAGAGCGAGGAGAAGGCCAAGGAGTACACCAAGTACAACATGGCGTTTGGCTACGGCGCGCGTGTCTGTCTCGGCCGCGAAATCGCAAACATGGAGCTCTACAAGGCCCCGCTGCAGTTCTTCCGCACCTTCAAGCCCACTATCCTCAACAAGCAGGAGCCCGGCAAGTACCTCGTCAAGGGCGGCGTGTCGTACTTTACCGACATGTGGATTACCCTTGACCGGCGGGCGCCTGTTGTGTAGCTACGTTCTTGGTTTCGCCCGTGTTTTTGTCTTCTCCTTCTCGTTTAGTTATTTCTGGCTGCAAGGCTTTGTGTTTTTTGTACAGCGAATACCGGATTTAGTTTTGCTTTTTCGTATGTAGTGCAATCAACACTCTTGATGCATCTCCAAGGTACGGAGTAGGTACACGATCCTTGCCTCCTGCACCGGCATCGCGTATCTCAGCAGCCACGTGCCAGCGCCTGTTCGAAGGCTGATGGAATGAATCATCGAAGCAAAAAGCAAAGCACCTGACCGCGTGGCCGACGACGCGTCGACATGCATGCTCCCTAGCCACACTGACAGGCATCAGGCATCCGGGAAGAGAGTCAGAGAGAGAAAGAGACACTGCGAGAGAGCCTCGGCACAAGCTTCCATCATTCCATGTCCATATCGAGCACGCAGAACCCCCGGCCCTGACTCGCACCACGAACCCGGTCCACGGGCCACGGGCCCTTCCCCATTAGGACCTACGCAGGACGCAGGCACCCATACCTACAATATGTACCCCTACAATATATACCTACCTATTACTGTCCGTGGAGCAGGCGTCCGCCCGCCAGGCCGTGTCAGCAGTGTCGTCTTGTTGCTTCCATTGCATTTGCGTGGCAGGGGCCCTGGCTCTTATCACGCCGTCCGCGCAATACGCGCGAGGCTCCGGTTTTGATCTGAGACGGACGCTTCAAGCTCGCTGATTGCGCATTCGACATTCGTGGCTCGCGCTGTGGGTTGCCTCTTTTGCTTCGTCTGCGCTGCGCGGTGCGGTGCGGTGCCTCGGCTGCTGCTGTGCGGGGACGGGATGCGGCGCGAGTCTTGGGTCCCTCCTTCTGTCCTGTGCGTGCGCGCTGTATGAGCGCAATGCGTGCAATGGATGTCATATCCGAGCCGTGTTTATGCTTCCAATGTGGGCTGAGGCTGGGTGGGTGGGTGGTGCTGACTCTGACTCTGGATGCTTGGGTGAAGAGTCAAGAGGGGGTGCGGCTGGACGGCTGGGCGTGGGGTAGGTAGGCAAGCTGCCGCGCGCCGTCACCATCATCACCGCCAGGCCGCGTTCCTTCGCTCGCGGCTCGCGGTTTCAGCGAGAGTCTGCTGTTAGGTATGCTTCCGATGTCACGTACAAGTCCCTCCCTCTCTGGACTCGTCCTCTTGTTAACTGGGCACGTCCTGCCCTTCCGCTGCCATCGTCCAGCTATCCAGCCATGCCATCAGCCAGCCACAACCACCACCCCCACGCCACACTTAGGTAGGAGCAGGAGCAGGAGCAGGAGTACTAGGTACATAGGAGTAGGAGCAACCTAATCCCTCCCCCTCCCCCTCCCCTCACGCATCAACAATCAAGCGCCCGCCACCAGCATCATCATACCTAAACACCAGCCACCCAGCCCCACCATCACCACGACCCGCCAAGCCCCGCCGCCGTCGCACCAGCCGCCACCATTAGTAGTAGGTTATTGCGGGGAAGAAAGAGAGAGTTAAAAGCAAGGACGCGAAATTGAGGGAGGCGTTTCGCTGCGCTCGCCTTGCTGCCGTGCCGCGCAGATCGCCAGGCATGGGCACCGACGGCGCGCCGGTTGCCGACGAGGCGAGGACGGACTCTCTTGCGCGCGCGCGTGTTTGTTTGGTGGCAGGGCTGAGACTGAGAGCGCGGGTGCGTTGGAGGGAGGGGAGTTGTTGCAGCGGGTAGGTAGCTAGGTAGGTAGCTAGGTGGTGAGGTAAACCATAGTAAGTAAGTACGTTTCTCGTCCTTCTCGTGGTCCTTCTCTGCTGCTACACAGGCGCGCGCGCATCAGCGGGCTTGGAAGACAAACAAGCGCAAAACGGCCCGGCTCGCCCTACGCACCAGGCCCAACCTTGATCGCACATCAGCGCGCTCCTCCAGCAAGCTGCGCGCAACTCCGCGCAGCGCGAGAGTTCGGCGCCAGCGCTTCAACGCAGCCGCAAGGCCGCAAGGCCGTGATATGCTGGGCGCCTCGTCTCGTCTCGTCTCGTCGTCTTGTCGCATCATGGTCCGCCTGGACGCCTAAGTGATGCGCGCGGCGGGGCTGGGTTGTGGTCGTGCGGTCTGCGCTTCTTGTCCTGCTTGCTTGCGCTCTGGGGATGCTGGTGTGGGTGCGGGTGAGCGGCTGGGAGTTGGGGGAGGCGGTGGTGGTGCGCGGGAGAGAAGAGGGGATGAGGTGTGGTGTGAGGCGCTGTCTGTGGTGGGGGATGGGTGCTCTGTTGGCTGTATGTGGAGTGGCACTGTTAAATTGCTACAAGCGAAGAGTTGGTAGGAGTAGTATTGGATGGAGGGAGCTTGCTATAAAGGTTTCTATGCATGTATATATCAAATACGAATACTAGCAAAGATGATTGTTCAACGCCGGCCGTGATCGCCTTTCTATTCTTACAGAGACACTATGGCGAAGCACGAAAGACTCACAGCCGATTGCAGATGCATCACTCAGGGGAGAGCAGCACTAGCAGCAGACGCAAGCCGGATCACCCTGTAAATATAACCCGCCCTTTATACCACCTGCCCAACGGAGACACCTCCGCATACATCGTCGATCACCATCTGTCTCAGCACGCGACTCCTATCCCAGTCCCCAACATTACCAGTAACATTTTAGCGGCGGCATAGCCAGCCGAGCTCTTTTTTTTTTTTTTTTTTT